ATTACTATCATATCTATCATATCCATTATTGTTGTTTTATTTTTTGTAGTTATCATTAAATCCTATATTAATTACTACATAATCATAATCATTATTATTAAATCTAGCTTAAGAGGTTACCTAACAAAATATGATTGTTCGAGTGCTGACATTAATCCAATTGGGGCAATAAGTAAAATTGATTTAAGAAAATTTATAGAATATGCAAGAAATGAATTTGGGCTTTCTATATTGGACGAGTTGAGTAGTAATCATGAACCATATTTGATTATAATAATGTATGATATTTAAGTCAGTGAAAATTTTTACTGAATATAAAATTATTATCTTACATATTATTTTGTAGATTTCTTAATGCCGTACCAACAGCAGAACTTGAACCAATAACTAGTGATTATGTACAATCTGATGAAGTAAATATGGTTTATATAATGACAATGAAGATTTTTTTTTTTAAAAGGATAACCAAATTGATGTCGTAATATAGGCCGATATGGGGATGTCATATGCAGAATTATCTGTCTTTGGTAGATTACGTAAATTAAATCGATGTGGTCCTTTCTCAATGTTTACAAAATTAGTTCATGAATGGAGCTCAGAATTATCACCAACAGAAGTAAAAAAAAAAAATTTAAAACAGTCATCTTTAAAAATCTTTTCATTAATCAATCAATCAATTCAATTATTTTTTTTCATTATTATATAATAGATATCAAAAAAAGTGAAAAAATTCTACTATTATTATTCGTTAAATCGTCATAAAATGACTACGATAACACCTTCTTATCATGCAGAATCTTATAGTGTCGATGATAATAGATTTGATCTGAGACCTTTTCTTTATGATACAGGATGGTCTTGGCAATTTAAAAAAATTGATGATTTTGTTAAAGAATCGGAAGAAAAAAATTAGCAAAAATATATTATTATAATTTTGCTATTTGTCGTTTACTCTTATTCTTTATAAAATAATAAACAAGACTAAGTTTTATTATCGAGGCAATTCAACTAAAAATAAAAAAGTTTTAATTACACGGTTTGTATGTATATGCGAGTTTTTATAAAAACCTCTTATTCGTTATTGTTATTATTATTAGTATAACGATAACGATTGAATGATTGTTAAATATACTTGATGAATGTTTTATCAATTATTCAATAGATGTACTATGAGCAGGTGGATGCCTATTTGATGTAAAAATGAAAGTATTAATATTTTTCAAAATTCAGAAAAAAAACGCGCTCTATCTCATTAAATATTTGATCGGATTGAGTGATCTTAGAATTCAAAAGAAAGCTGAATTATATTCAATATTATTCAGCATTGAAATTTTTAATAATAATATTTTATCTTTTGTTGCTTGCTTATATTATCTAATTATTCTAATCATTTATGTAGGAATAAAAAACTTATTTTTTACTATGCAAATATTTATAATAACGTAATTATTTGGACATTTATTTCTACCTTTACTTGCAATTCAGATTATTTTCGGCTTTATTAACAATCTATGCCGAAAAAAAATTTTGAAGTAAACATATATTATAAAGAAACAATTCCTCGATTTTGGTGGTGATTTGAAGTCATTCAATCGTAATTATTATTAACGCGTTCCTTTAGATTTTTTTAATTTATTCATACATTATTGAAATATACAATTTTAATCGAATGTTTGTTTGCAATTAAAAAAATTGATAGATAGATATTTCTTTAAACTAATAACAATTCCCTGACCCATTCATTACCTTTTTGTGTTGCTTTTCAGGATTTTGTAAAGCAGTCCTACTAGAGTAATTGCACGGTATAAGTTCATTTATAAGTACTACAACCTGACTTTGTGGTTACCTATTCATATTTGTTTTTCATCATATCTTGCGTTAATCAATACAAATAAAAAATATTTAGCCTTTATCTTTGTCAAATATTATTAAATAAGTATATAGACATTAAGGTGGAGAACCAAACAAATGATTAGGAGAAGACATCTTGGCATTCCTTGGATTTCACAATGAGGTTTTTGGCAAAATTCTTTCCTCCAAACTTCTACTACTTGAAAGATGCTATTACGGTGGTGCAAGTTTTACATCAAATTAATTTCCGGATGCTAATAATGCCAATAATTTCTCTAATCAATAATTAATCGTTCGTTGGCTAGTTGGCCATCAGTCTGATCATAATTTTGATATGTAGATCATTACGTGGGTTATATTTCTTTTGCGAATAGAAGAAAAAACAATGCTTAGATTGCCATTTACAAAATTATTACATCATCCTAAAAGAGATTTGTTGATACTTGTATTTGGAGGAAATTTTCAAGCTATAGATACAAGGTTGAATAATAATTTTTGTTTTATAATTATCAATAAATAACTTTACCAATTATTTCTACATGTATATATAGTACAGGAGTGATAATATCTACTACACATCCATTATTCTCTAACAATGAGATGCGACCTAAATTCATAATACCTAATACTGATGCACATGAAACTTTAATTAGAGCAATTGAATTTTATCAAAAATCAGCAGATGATGATGATGCTAATGATGAATCTTTAATGGCTTCAAGCGGTGAAGATAAATTATTGAAAGTTTGGAGTATTGACAATTGGAGGTTGATAAATTCGAGGCATGTTATTTAGACAAATATTTTTAGATTATAAATAATTGAATGAAAGATCTAATTGAATTGAATTGAAATATGATATGATCTTATGTTATATAGACCCGTGCCTAAACGTGTGGTCTCAATTGCATTCAATTCCCAAGGATCACAAATCATTACGGCAGACAAATTTGGAGACGTTTACAGGTAGTTAAAAAATAAATTAGATAAGTTATTAGTGTTGGAAGGAAAATTATAATTAATTGATTGATTTTTTTCTTTTGCAAGATATCCAATAAACGCATCAAATGACAATCAGAATGCTGTAGATTTATTGTTAGGTCATGTCTCAATGGTCACTGATATGGTAAAAAATATATACTTGTAATATTAATAGATTATTTGTGTTTGAGTGAAAGGGAAGAACTTGATAAATTTTTTTTATTTTTATTTAGATTTTAACTCCTAATAATAAATTTATTATAACGGCTGACCGTGATGAACACATAAGAGTCAGTAGATTTCCAAAAGGTCATAATATAGAATCATACTGTTTAGGCCATACACAGTAAGCATATACAATTAAGAAATTGTAATGATGTACTTAATTAGTTGTTTCAAATCAATTAAAGGTATTTTTGTTTGTTTTTTTTTTGCAGATTTTTATCAAAATTGCATATATTACCTTGGTCAACTGATTTTTTGTTGTCAGCAGGTGGTGATGATTATATTTTTTTATGGGAATATGTTTCAGGAAAATTGTTACAATCTTTAAACGTTAAAAGTATTATTGAAAATCAAGTAATAATTATTATTTTTGTTGTTATTGTTGTTTTTATTATTTTTGTTGCTGTTTACAATGTATTAATTATTTATTGATGATTCTTAATTATTGATATTTTTTAATCTTTATAGATTAAAGAACAAAACGAAAAAAAATTATTAACTTCAGAGTACAATAATAATGAATTTGCTGTGACCACAATCACAAGCAGTTCAATTTCAAAACACATCGCTTTGGTTATAGAAAAATTTCCTGGAGTAGTAATCTTGAATTGGAATGAGACCAATCAATCTATTGAGTTTAAAACAATTTTATATTCAAGTATTGATCCACTTGATATTGCGTACGATCTTCGAGGAAACTTGTGGGTTTCGAATTCATTATTAAGTGATGACGACGATAAAGATGATAAAGAATTAATAACTTTATTTATAAGAAATGAGGATAATGATCGGTATGAAAAAAGTTCTAGTGACCATCCTTTATTAATTCAAATTAACAAGTATGGGTCTGTTCAAGGTAAATAGATTAATCATTAATGGGGACAATAATAAGAATAACATTATAATTATTCATTAATTAAAAATATATTGTAAGTAGTTGATAAAATTCCAGATTTGTATCCAATTGGCCAACTTCGTAAAAATCCTGTTGATTGGAAAGAACAAAAAAGTAAAGGAAAAGGCAAAGAAGAAGAAAACGATGAAGTTGAAAGCAATGAAGAATCACAAAATAATGATAATGCTGTTAATAAATCATCAATATCAAAAACTCAAGAAAAAAAGCCAAAAAGAAATGTTGAGAAAAAGAAAATCAAACTGAAATAATAAATATGATTTTTTTAATAGTTGTTTATTAACTCATTATTAATAAATTAAAAAAGTTTTTTGTTCCAACATTTGTTGTTTCATTGATCCTCTGGAACTTCAAAGAGTTCTAATTTTATCAATATAAAAAAATAATAAAAATCATTTATTAGTGTTGGTTTATTCACAAAAAAAAAATTTTTTTAAAGAGAAAAAATTTTTTTTCTTTCTCTCAGAAAATATTATGGTGCAATTATCTTTCAACATTGGGTTTCAGACGGTAATTCCAGCTATTGATAAATGCTTTGTTTCATCATCGAGTAGAAATTTTGTTAATAAAGAAAATAAAAACTTACTTTTTGTCGTTTTTTAAAAAGAACTAGGTTTAGAAATTTTTATAGATGATGTCGATCACGGCAAATAAAATTTTACTTTTTAATACGCCACTTATATTTGAGGCAGTTACGTTTAATAGCAATTTGATGTATTATATGGAGTAAGAATAAAATTTGGCAATATTAATATTAATATATCCAGTTATGCGAAAGCATAATCCTGGACATATTCTATGATTGGCCAATGGACCAGATCAAAACTTTTTTTTAAAAAATTTTAGTAATAATAATAATAATAATAATAATTGAAATAGGTGTTCACATACAGGGAAAGGACTAAACAATAATTTTGTTTTTTATTTTAACCAGGATATTATTATACTTAAAAGAATTACCAGATCAATTGCATGGAATGCATGTCTATCTAGTAAAATTTGGTTTAGAAGTGTGTTCAGCAGTGATACCGTTAATTAATACTAAATACATTATGAACTTCTTGGATATCTGCAACATTTGCTCTTGTTACTGATACAAGATATACACGACCCAATGAAGGTACATTTCTGAACGCATAATGCCTTTGGAGATCATCAACGATATTAAAATATTTTTGAAGAACATGAAGACCATCAGCACAAAAAAGAGATTCAGATAGAGTAGGTACAACTGCTGGAATAGCGAAACGTGGAGATAAAAACTGCCGAATGGATGTTGGATAATTAGCACAAATTCCTGTTGAAAAATTAAATTAGAAAAAACTTTACAAATAAAAATAATATTTTTTTTAAAATCATTTTTAAACATACTAGTAATTATAATATTTCTTTTTGATCCATTGTTGCAACAAACCACACTCATTCCATTCTACAACCATTACCAAAGGATCAAGATCATAATCTTCACGTTTTGCTTGGACCATTGAATAATTTCGTTGTTCGTTTTCCCACTAAAAGCGGAATACATCATTCTTTTTGGTCTATTGTGTTAGATATTTATGAATAAAATTCTTTTGACTTTTCTAATAAATAGAAATCATAGAAAACAACAATCATACCTGAAGGTCAACCAAGAGGAAGTTTCATATAAAGCCAAGAGAAGAAGAATGATGCAAATAATAGAAATAATGATGGACGAAAAAATAATTAAAAGGGACGAAAAAATAACAATAAGCAAAAAGAAAACAGTTGTAAAGAAATCAGCTATTGTTTCTTTCATCTTTACTTTTTTTTTGATTAAGAAATATATCATATATGGCTAATGACTAATGTTTCAATATTATAAGCTTTCCATAATTCAGTAACGTCACTGATCAGAATAATAGGATTGTCAATTTCTATTATATTTTAATATTAACCAATTCTCAAAACATGAGGTTCAACCTTTTAACAGGGTGTCTTGGTGGTTGGATGGTTATGTGTAATCCCAATTTTAATTAGTAGATTGGGTCATGGTTTACCGGTAAGAAGGTTTAGCTCAAATGATAAGGTTAAATCCTTGTTGTAGATCCTTGGATTGGCTGCAAAAATATTTTCGTTTTCCAAAAATTGATAAATGGTTGTGGTTATTTTTACATCACCATATCATGTGAATTCCCATTTATATCTATTTGGCAACCAAAAAATTATCTATTTTTATTCAAAACGTCAAGGTTGAGTGAAGCAGATACTTGGCTGAAAGGAAATCGTGTTTCGCTTTAGATGTTTTTGCGTGGTGTCTATCATTTGGTCTTTGTCTTGCTCTGACGTTTCGGACCGTTTGAAATGACCAAAAACTTATGGCCTCGCCTTGGAGCATTTACATCATTTCAAGCCAACGTAGCAAAAAAAAAGGAAAAAAACCAACTTATAACAAAGTTTTATCCTTTTGATTTTGATCTCACTCTTCCCTAACAATTCGGTTTACTAAAGTTTAACAACAAAATGTTTAGAAAATTTGTGATTCGTTACCGTAACCGCCCCGGATTTACCGTCTCAAGTCTTTAACGAGTCTTCCTTATAACAGAATGTTTCCCGTGCATTCAAATTTGGGTAAAAAAAAAAAGAATATTACACAAAAATTACGACATTTCGAAAGGAACTGTACGTAACACGGCAACCTTTCCAAGTCGAATTTTATATATTATATTTTTATATAATGTCATATGTTAAACTATTATCATCGTTATCACAAGAAAGAGAGGATTTTGTAGATAAAATTTACGGTGAAATACTTAATAACTCTAGTGTCAATTCTGAAAGAGAAAATAGAAAAGATTATTTTTGTTCATTAGTCAAAAAAAAACAGGGAGCTTTCTGAAAACGAAAAAGAATTTTGTAAGGAAAGGTTTATTTATAATTTTGAATTAAAAAATACAAGAGATAAATTGGGCCAACCAAAAGAATGTAACAAGTGTAAATTGGCAAAATACTCTGATAGATTCTGTGAAGGTTGTATCAGTTTACAATTACAGAGTCTTTTCACCACTTGGACATCTGGAAATAACATAATTGATGATTTTATTCAACAATGTCAAATGAAATCATCTCTGCCATATTTTATTTTAGAATGGATACCTTTTGAGCAATTTTATGATATAACAAAGTTGACAGAAGGTGGATTTAGTTCGATTTTTACTGCTACATGGACAAGAGGAAGAATAGTTGATTACAACGAAAATAAAAAGGAATTCACTTATTTAGAAAGGCAAAATGTAGTATTAAAAAGTTTAAATGATTCAAGCAATCCAGGAAAAGGCTTTTTTGATGAGGTTGGTAGTTGTCATTTAAAACAAAATAAATAATACTGTATTATATAATACTAATTGATTTTATATTCAATAGGCAATGAATTATTCTAAAATTAAATCAGGGTTGATTTATCCTTGTTATGGTATAACTAAATTCCCAGATAATGGAAATTATGCAATTGTTTTAGGTTATGCTCCAGAGGGAAATTTAAGGGATTATTTACAAAACAATCATTCAACATTAAAAGAAAGAATTACAATCTTTCATTTTTTATGTGCTGCATTAAATGATATACATCAGAAAGATTTAATCCATTGTGATTTACATAGTGGTAATATGCTTATGGATGCAGGTGGTTGTTATACTACAGATTTGGGATTATGTGGACCAGTTGATGATGAATCATCAAATAAAGTCTATGGAATTGTACCATATGTTGCACCTGAGCTATTTAGGGGTGAAAAGAACACAAAAGAAACAGATATCTATAGTGTTGGAATGTTAATGTGGGAAATATTTGCAGGTCATCCACCATTTGATGATAGAGCTCATAATCATCATTTGATTTTTAATATATGTGAAAAAGGTTTACGACCACCAATATTACCAGGAATGCCTAAAGATTATGTGCAAATGATGCAGAGGTGCTGGGATGTGAATCCATCAAAAAGACCAACTTGTAGAGAGCTTTATGTTTTTGCTAGAAATAAACATAACAAAATTTATAAATATAATAGTAATAATACTACTAGTGGTAGTGGTAGTGATTCACAACGAGCATACAAATCACATCCAGATGCATATCATACAAGCAGAATATTAGATGAAGAGATTGCTAAATCTAAAAGTTATACAAGTAATAGTTTGTTAAATAATCTTGATTGTAATTATTAATCGAAAATTACTATCCATTACTAACAATATTAATTAATTAATTAATAAACATTAGATTCTAGTACCAATAGCAGAAGAAAGAATTGATGAATGACTAATTTAATCTCTATAAATTTTTTTATTTAGCTTTTTATTTATCCTTATTATTTTGAAATAATAAACTTTTCACAGTTTTGTTTGATTCTTGTTAGTATCATTATGGTTAATTACATATGTAAACTCGACAAGTCAGTCATGTTGGGGTGAGCTCATATGACCAACTTATCAAGTAAACCGACTTATCGAATTAAATTGCTTAAATATTAAGAAAAAGGGATGAAAGTTTTGGCTTATCGAGTTTACATATGTATGGCTTAACTTTTGGGCTGTTCTTGTCGGTTGGTTGCAGATAACTCACAATAATTTGGTGCTTGTTGATTAACTAGTGTACAAATTTACTTTGGTTCTCGATTACTGCCTCTTTCCTGCACCTAGATGAATCCTGAGCACATTTAATGGTATCAGATAACTGTAAATAAATAAAGATGCCCTTTTACAAAACTCAGAAGCTTCTATAAAGTTCCTTTTATTCACCTGTGATCAATTTATTGCCAACCGATTGCAAACTTGCTTTAGTTTATTTATAAAACAGCTTGAGTAGCTTGCTTAACAGCCTTACATTTACAATTACAATAATACCACCAGCATTTCTGGTTAACCTTTGGACAATACTTCATTAACACCCACTAGTTAATCCAAACCTTTGCTTGCTCACTAAAACAAGTAAACATGGCTTTTTACCAAAGCTCCATGATTGTTACCTTTTACCGTGGCACTAATTACATTTGTCGCTTTTATCAAAGCGCTTTAAACAAAGTAAATAAAGACAATAAAGAGATTGTTCCTGAATATTTTAATGCGGGTATTGGGTGATAATAAATCTCAACTTTAACATAGAATACAGAATAAGATCGATTGTTTTATCAAACGTGACAAATTTACGAGACATATATTTTTTTTGCATTGATATATTGCTTTATTTTTTTCTTTTGCTTTGGTAAAATTCGAACAAGTCGATCAAGTGGGTTTTGGTAGGTATTATTAGGAGTGAAAGTTTAAGTTTTCTGTGATCTATATACTGACACTGTATATGTCAGAATTGTGCTTTTATTTTTTAAGGAAAAAAAAAGTCCTAGACATTACTGTAATATCAAGAAATAACTGAATAACCAACCATATGCCTTATTATTAAATTGTTATTTATATACTGTATGTAAAATGTTCACTTACATTATAGTATATTTTAAAAAGGTTTTTTTATATATAGCATACGATATAAAGAAGGTAATTACTTCAACTCTCTTGCAAGTTATTTTCCAGGACTTAATGATGATGGATGGTCAAATTTTGAGTAGTTCTTAAAGTCACACTATTTTTTTTTGTATGTTGATATTTTGGTATTTCAATTCGTCAGTTTTTACACATTTTTGCCCCGGATTGACATATATGTGTGTGCATATTAATTATAGTGAAGTTTTTTTGCCAAAAATCAATTCTTCCTTATATCAAGCACTGACTGTAATATACAAGCAATGACCAGTATTCAAAACTCAAATTTATATTATCTTTAATGCTTAAACATCTATCTATCAATTTAATGTACTCAACATCAGAAAATGCATCCTTTGGGTTAAGAGAATTAAAAAACCTTGGCGAAATTGATGGCAAGAAATCAGCATTTTTGAACAAATCACGAAATCGCCATTTTTGAAATTTGAGGGCATGGCGCAGCAATAGGAGGTCTTTAGACCGAGCCAACCATATGTGATATGGCCCACAATATTGTATACTTGCAGGTTTTGGTCATATACAATTATTTTTGCTCGCCGTTTAATAGTTGTTGTATCATTTATAATTTCTTCAAACATTAGATATATCTTGGTGCGTACACATCTTGGGTTACAGCTTTTACCGAACTACTTATTTTTAAAAAATTATCTGATGTTTGTGTTTTATTAATAACAACTTTCACTTAAAACATTGAAAAATGGGCAACTTCATTTCACATACGGAAAGTATGGACCCAAATTTGCAAAGAACTTTAGATGGTTTGAGTTCTAGGCAATGATAGTACAGCATAAAATCGCATATTTAAAAGGAATCAACGCAACTAAAAATCAAAAACTTATACAATATCATTCATGGATCTATAATTACTGCCTTTATTTTATTTTTTCCATATTTTACAAATAATATTTTGCTAAACTATTTCAAGTACTGACAAAATCAATTGCCCAACAAGGTTATTGAAAACAATGAAAAAAGATTCCATAAAAAGTGTAATTGTACTTTATTACAGAATAATAAATAATAGTTAATTATTTTCTATCTTTCACCAGAAATTTATTCCTAAACCTAACTGAAACCTTTTTAATTTATCAGAGGTTGTTGCAATTAACGGCAAACAAAAATTTATTTCAAATCTTAAAATGCTATTTCTGTATGCAATACCTATGCCACCAGATATGCTAGGTGTTTTTGTCAGATTATTGAAATTGTTGAGAAAATTTCTACCTAAAAAAAAGTTTTTTATACATATAACATAAATAAATATCTTTTTATACTAATAAGATACAAGCATATACTTACGAGGATCAAATTCTATTAAACTTCCTCCATTTACGAATAAATGACCTTTAACAGGATACTTCCTTAACTTTGGTAATGGAGTGAATAAACTAACCCCGCCCGCTAAATAAATATCACCACCTAAAGAATCCTCTGGAATATTTTATAAAATAAAGTCAGTTTGTCAATCAATCGACCTATCAATCTAAATAATCAATATTAATCTAACTCTTTATAAATTAATTATTTCGTACTTTTATCTTCTCTTGGACCAAGACCATTTAAACTAAATCCTCTTACAGATTGAGCACCTCCAAGGAAAAATCTATCACTGATCTTTGATTTGTCTTTTAATGGGTATAAAATTCCATTTCTTAATGAAGCACTAAAAATCTGAGATTTTATCAAAAAAAAAATTTATTATTATATTTATTATATAACAAAGAAAATTGTCATATAAACCATACAAAGCCTTTCCCAAGTGGATAATTAATTTGATTTTCTATTTCATTTTTAATAAAGTTTACATCTCCCCCAAATCCAGCAACTTCCTATATTATATATGTGTGTGTGTGCGTGAGATTATCAAGCAACTTTGTATTTTATTTTATAAGTTAACGTAAAAATACCTGAAATAATTTTAAGTAATAGCCAGTAGATGGTAGCATTATATCATCACGACTATCATAAATAAAAGTATGACTTATGGACGATTTTAGTGAATGACCTGCAGATTCGCGTATACTATAAATATTAAAGCAATTAATTTGATTAGAGTAAATGTGCAAAAGATCTTAATAATAAATCAAATACCTTAGTGTTGCATCATTATTAATATTGCAAATTTGTCTCCAAATAAAACCATAATTTAACTCATGAAATCCTAATTTTGATATTCCCTAAATTTTAAAAGGACAGATATTATTATTGTTGTCAAAGCAATATACATAAGTTATTATATTTAAAAAAATTGAAGAATTATGATAAACCTACTCTCCATCTTAAGGCAGAACCTTTTAAGATTTCATCATGAGAACTGTATGATTGATTACTTTTTGTCATTCTAAACGCCGAAATGTCGATTTTGGAATCTGGATTTCCATTGATCGGTGTTGCTAAACAAAACTAAATAATATGTGAACAAAAATTATATGATACAAATATTACGTTTATTATATATATATATATATATAAGGTTCTCACTTGGAATATATGTGAAGTTTGAGTACTAGTTGCCATATATGCTTCCAATGTTTCGGCGCCACCAAAAAGATTACGTACAGTCAATGACAAATTCTACAAAATTTATAAAAGTAAAAGCTTCCTTAATCATATGCTAAAATTTTATGAATATCTCATCACTACAATAAGAAAATTTGATCATGTCATCGGAAAAAAAGAAAAAAAAGGTTTTACCGCACTTCCAGAATCATTTCCAATTTCTGTGCCAGTTTTTATAAAAAATCTCTTATTTTCCTTTACCGACAATAAAACATCAATTGCATCTTTCTGTGCTAATGGGTCGTTACTTGTATCAAGTAATACATCAAAATTATTGAAAATATCAAGACGGTATAACTTGTCAATGGATATATGAATTTCATCAATAATTGAACCAAGTGTCCTAGCTTTAAGTATAGGGTTGAAAATTTGTTCTAAGAAGTTTCTACGTGTTTTTTTTACCCCGTCAAGCTTAATTAAATTAATATATAATGGAAGATCCTTAGTGTCATTGACCTAAAGTTACAAAAAAAAAGTGATTCTGAATTAGTGTGCATACAAACATAAATATAATTAAACAAAATTAATTACATCACTACCAAATCTATTAATTTTCTTATTGCTTCTTCTTTTTTCAACTGCGATACTATATCTTCATTTATATCCATTTTTTGCAATGATGGTTTTTTTTAATTCTTGAATTATTGAAATTTAACTGATTATCATTAAAAATTTTTAAAAACCACTATCGATTTTTGAATTTGCCCTGCGAAAATTCCTAAATAACTGTTCAGGTGATCTTGAACTTTTTAAATTTAAAATTGTTCTGTAATTTTTAATTTATTAAAAAAAATTTTTTAATTTACGCGATCTTTGTCAATATGTCACAAGTTCAAAGAAACATACCTTCATTTTCAACGGTTACCTCCAGTTTTAAATCTTATATATTGTCTTTACCACTTTTAACAACCATAATTGCTTGTATTTCTATAATTTTTTATATAATTGATGCTACTGGCAGTAATATAATATATAATGCCTTAGCTTTGGAACCTGAAAGTTTCTTTGAAGGACAAAGTAGGTTTGATTTAAAGAATAACTCATAAAATAAATCCCAATAAATAAATATACAAAATTTGGCTAAAAACTACTTGATATATGTGCGTGGTTTTTTTATTAAATCAATAAAATAGTATGGCGTCTGTTCACTTATCCATTACCGCATTTTTCTCTTGGTCATATCCTCTTCAATTTGCTTGCCTTTTTACCATTGAGTACAACTATTGAGCATACAATTGGAACTTTAGAATATTTATATGTTCTAATAACCATATTTACAATAATGTCTGGTTCGTTCTATTTGATTGGCTCATTAATTTTTGATTATAAATCAATGATGGTAGGAGGTTTAAGCACTTGGGTATTTGGAGTTGTAGTATGGGAAAGTAGAGAATTAGCTGGAAAAGAGAGAGAGTAATTATTAATTTAAGCTTCAAGTTCGATATAATTATACCTTTGAATCATAAATAAACAAATAATAATTGTTGTTATTACAGTATTTTTGGACTTTTTAAAGTTCCAGCACACTTTTATCCAATAGTGTTACTATTAATAATGGTAATTTTGTTCTCTCGTATGTGGTTTGTTAGTTTTTTATGTGGATTATTTTCGGGATATTTTTGTAAGTAAAAAAACAAAAAAAGATTGATAATTATATCTTGTAATTTTTAATCATTGAAACATTTCACTAAAATCATTTGATCCAAATATTTTGAAAAGATTCATTTGGTTATATATCTTGTATTCTACCATCTTCTGGCTTTTTCTCTCAACTTGAAAATAAAACAGCCCTTTCTAGACTTGTAAATTTTCGTGGATTTATCAAAGCGGAAGAGGGTAGTAGAGGTGGATGGTGGTTACCACTTTGGAATGAGGATACATTAGAAGAACCTTTAGAATCATCCAATGATGTTATATATGAGGAACATGAAGAACATGAAGAACATGAAGAACATGAGGAACATCAAGAACACGAGGAACAAAATGACGATAATAATTTAGCCTCATTAAATGCCGAGTATGTTTTTCAAAAAAGTCCCTTAAAATCAACTTATATTTTACATGTTAATAATAGTACTAATTTTTTATTTTATATACATGTGATTAAAACAAATTACAAAATTCAGAGAAAATAATCATTCAGAATCTCATAACTTGACAACAAATTCAATTTTTGTTGTATCATCAAACTCTTCTACTCCAGAAGCAACATCACCACTAACAACTACCACAATGACTGATCCTATTTTAAACAGCTCGACAACCAATGTTACGTTAACATCTGAAAATAATACAAAAGACGTTCAACTAGTGGCAGCAGAATAATTAAAAGACAATTTTGTAAATAATTTAATGTCTTAATTAATAAGAATATTCATGAATACGATATCATATAAAGGTTTTAGTGCTATTTTTAAAGTTGTAAAAACAGTATTTGTATATTAAGTACATTTTAATAATAGTAATAACCATCACCATATCAATTCAATTACATATTTGATAAATCATCCGTATCCTTAAATTTAAACTTATTTTTTTTACAATGCTAATAAATTTAATGATAATGATAAAAAGTATAATGTAATGTGAATATAATTATTAAATTAAATTTAATATTATTAACAGTAACGATCCATAGTCAATGACAAATAATTTATGATAAATCAACCATAAAATATTACAATCAATTCAACAACCATTTAATAACTATAAATAAACAAATTCATCCATAGTAATGTTCCATTGTGTAAATGCTATCATACATTAAAAATTTTTTTGTGGTAATACTATATACACGCATATGTATATGTAATATAAGTATTAAATTTTTTGAAATATAATAATATCAAAAAAAAATTTCCAACCCATTATTATTAACTCACTAATATAATCAATTTATTATTCTTAATATTATTTCAAAGGACTTATATCTTTCGTTTTTTGACATTCTTCGATTTACCCTTATTATTACCATCGTTATCTGTAGATACTTTTGTCACATCATCATCATCATCATCATCATCATCATCATCCTCGTCCACCACCACCACCACCTCACTTTCTTCCTTTTCTTCAACACGAACTTTACGTTTTGATGATGGCAATGCAGCTGCAGCTGCACTAGTTGAAGGCATATCAACTGGATCAAGATCATCACTACAATTTGATAAATCATCACTGTTGTCTTCTTCATCCTCCTCATCAGGTTGGTAATCTTCCTCGTCAGTATCTCCTTCAGAAAAGATTACCTATTTTAAATATGTAAATACACACGTGCATATATATAATATGTATCATGATATTATTAATTAATAAAAAATGACAATATATTAATTGGTTACTAACATCTTTTAAAAAATAATTAACACCGCCTTCCATCTCATCATCAACAACATCAACATCATCATCGTCGTCGTCATCGGATTCATCCTCTGAAAAACTTCTTGTTGGTAAATCTTCTGGAAATGCGACTGATTTTCCTTTATCCTTTGGCTTACTTGCACTTTCAACATTTAAGTTGTCATTTACTGGCTCTTCTTCGTCACTAGCTCCCTACAAATATTGTATATAAATAAATAATTCATTCATTAGTATGATATACATTATATATATATATATATGGCTTGATACTAATATGATACAAATATTTAGTTCTCATAATGATTTTTTCTACCTGATTTTTATCTTGTTCAGATTCAGATCCTCCTTCGTCATCTACATTGGAACCACTTGATTCCAATTCACTTAATTCGTCTTCATCATCATCACCTTCCTCTCCATCAGCAGAATCTGTCATTATTATTATTATTATTATTATTATTATTATTATTATTATTATAACAAAAAAGAAAATGATAAATTATTCCCAATTAATTTATCTCAAGGTTTACAAATCCAAACATTTTTACCAGTTTAATCTAACCTGCATGACCATTTGATTGCGCAACATCATCTTCCTCATATTCCTCATCTACATCACTTTCATCTTCAGAATCAATCATTACTCCATCCCTTTGTTATTATTGTTGTATCATAATCATCATTATTATTTAACAAAGCTCCACAAAACAATAAATAGTGTTAATAATATTATTAATAACTTACTTAGTCTTTGCATCAAGTGTATAAAGTTGCGGTACGGTTTCAAATACTTTGACTCGATAATTTGTCCTTTTTGTTACTGGACAATCAATTAAACTCAAATGTTTAAGATTCGTTAAGTTTTTCTTGATTTAATAAATTGGTATATTAATATTAATCATTATTCTTAAACAAAATAAAAAATTCATATAGAAATAAAGAAAGAAAACGAAACAAATCATTTTACCAATGGCTCAAGTTCTGCATATTCATTTATTCTGTTATTACTCAAATCAAGATGATTTAAATTTTCAAGTTTTGCCTGTGATAAAGCTATTAAACCACTTGCAATTTTATTATCTGCCATTGTAAGCTATATAAGTACATGTGAGTATATATTTTTTAAAAGAATTATAATCTGTATATTTATATTTTATTATATAGATACTGTACCCTCCTAAGTTTTGATAATGTAGGAAAACCTTCTATAGAGTGTAGGAGAGTATTGTTCATTGAAAGAGATCTAAGGTTAATCAACTCGTTAAGTGGTGTAAAATCTTTACTACTATTATTACTATTATTAATAGTAGTAGTAATGTTAGCAAGGTTCATTATTTTCTTATTATCAAGAATGAGTTCCTCTACTTCATTAGGATCTTCATATTGTTGAAGTAATTTTTTTAACTCTTGGTCTATCATTTTTTTTTTTTTTTGTTATTTTAAAATAATTGTGATTATTGTTCTTTCACTTTTCCTTCACAAGACAAAAAAAAAAGAGTAACAACGCGTTTTTTGTTAATGTAGTTATTATAATATATTATAAAAGCAAAATAAGAATGGGAAAATGAGAAAATAAAATGGAGAATATCATAGTAACAAATCACGTGTGTATAAATCATGTGATCGCATCAATTTTATTTAATGTTAATATTAATGATTTTTATTTCCTCCAAGTATTTCCAAGCCAATCAAGTTCTGATCTTGGCTTATCCCAAGTCCAACACTCGTCACCTTTTTCAAAATCATAAGGAGTCAAAGGCACGTCATACGGGAGACGAATCGGAACAATTAAAGTTTGTATATGTGCTCGAAGCCTTTTTCTTTTTTTCGATGATGATGATTCAGATGGTAATGATTCGAATGGTTTTTTGACAAGTTCATTAATGTACAAAGGCAATTTCGGATTCAAGTCGTGTATAGTGGTGTTCAAGAAATACACCGAATCATAATCAACTGTCTATTTAAATATATATAAACGTATATAAAAATGTTGTTTTTACACCCAAAATAAAAATTAACATAATAATTAATACTTTACATTGAATAGTTCTGGAAAGATTAAAACCCCCATTTCATAATTACTAATGAAAAGTTGAGTTTTTTCCTTTTGTAGAACACCCCAGGCAGCTTTAGATAGGTTGCTGCTGGTAAGACAAAACCATGCAATATTTGCATTTGATGCTTCCCCCGTAAAAGATGGTCGCTCAATTCTCATTCTAGTATAGGTCTATTTTTATTTTTAAAAAAAAAATATGATAAATATTACATTTGAATTATAGACTGGATTAAAAATAACAACAATATTTATATGAGTAATTTTACTATGTGCCTTGATATGTGGCATTGCACGATCTCTTCCAGAATCCATGCCTTTCCATTTACAAAGAAGTGGATCCATATAGTCTTTTTGTTTGATATAATATTGACTATTAAATGGTATAGATCCGCCAGAATTCCAGCCATCAAGACTAATAGTAACAATAATGTATGTATGATGATAATTATGTAGTATCAAAAACATAATAATAATAATAATGTAAATATAATAAAATTTATATACCTATCGCGAACATTTTCCACTGTAGGAAAAACTAAATTAATTTCTGGATCTGTGCAGTCTAATTTATTTTTTGCTGCGCTGAGACTTTCTTTAAGCTCATTTTTCAACCAGTCACATTTAACGCCAAATGAACCAATGCTTGAAGTCTTTTTATCGCGCGCACACACATACATATATATATATACTCATATGAATAAATTTAATAGATAATTTCTGTATATTTTAAAAATAATTTCTTTGTTTTATTTTTACCTGACAGACAACTTGACTTTTTTCATGAAATTCCGGTTCCAATGTAACATTATCTCTTAGAATTGCTCTTAATCGCATATGTCCGTATTTGTTTAAATCTTGTTCTTTATGACGACCTGGTACGGAAGTAATCAAAACCGCCTATAATATATAATGTAATAATGAATTTAAATATTATGATTATTTTCATATTCAAGACACCATATAAAATATATTTACCTTAACCGATGAAAAATCATATTGTTTTATTTTTTCACAAAAATGCAATAATCTTGTTCCATAACTTTTCAAATAATCGATCAAGTCCGATTCAAACTGACAAGAATTCTCTCTATTACTTTTTTTATAAAGTATTGGTGTCATATATACAGCCTGAGTCATATGACCCCAATCTGCTGGAATAAGATTTGCTGTATGTATACACAATCTCATCGTATCATTATTATAAAACAAAATCATTGCCTAATTAATCGATTATTATTATTATTAATATCAACATCATTATTATTGTTATTATTATATTTTATGATTATTTATTAGAGATTACCTTAGTGTGATGAACACCTATGGATTCAAGAACATAAAGATAATTATAATCAATACGCTACATATATGTGCATATATATATATATATATATATTATAACACTAACCATAATTATGAGCTTGAGTTGCTGTTGTTGCATCTATAATTTTTACGTTTTTGTATTCATTTATAAAATCCTAATCAGATAATAATAAACATGCATTTTTTTAAAAAAAATCTTGAAATCGAAACCACAATGTATCAGTTATATAATTAATTAATTAATCACGCACTTTTGGAATAAGGTCTTTATGACCATGAACAATTGTTGTCGGTATAGTCTTTTGCTTGATAAATGGTAATTTGGACATTAAAAATTCTGGGTCAATCATATAATTTATCTGGAGCATTTCCTTTAAATTCATCTAAAAAAGTATTTTTTTTGTAGGGAAAACAATTTATAAGTATTAATAGCATAATAAAGATAATAATAAAATAATTAATTTTCTCTACGTTTGAAATTATATCTTCTAAAGTAACAGTGTTCATGTTTTCTTTTACTGGAAGATCTTCGACTGAAGTTAAAGAAATTCCACTGTCGCCATAAAATAAATCTATTCTATCAGAGTTGGCTCTAAATTTGACGACACCGAATTTGTCAGACTTGGAGGAACTAGCTGTTGCATTAGTGGTAGTAATATCATCATTCATTGTATCATTTTCTGGGGAATCTTGCGTCTTTTGGCGTTTATTTACTTCTGATTCCATGTTTATCAGTAATATTTAACTTTAAAAAAAAATATTTTTATCCAAGTTAGTACGTGTCATTAATAATAATGATCTTTTGGTTACAATCAGAATGTAACCATCCAATCAAAACCAATGAAATAAGTCGCATCCACTTCCACATTAATATACTAATACTATTTTTATACATGGGATGGTAATTACCACGTTCCCCCTTTAAAAAGTAATTATGAAACTAATTTGGGCGACGAAATTTTACGAATTTATGGGAAATATCATTTTCTATACAAACTGTTGTTTAACACCATACTGATTAATAATCAACATCAAAAACTTTGCTTTATACCAAAATAAATAAACAAAATCTCAGAGTTGTATACCACTCTGATAACCAGATTGATAATTAAACCCTACTGTTTAATTTCCAACTACAAGTGTTTTTAAAAGAATTTATTTTATTTATTATTATGTGTGAAATTATTTTTACAAGTGAATTAAATTAATGATGATAAATAAATATTTCTGCCTCTACTTATTACCAAGGCTCTGAAATATTAATTAACCAGTTGTTTTTTTCACTTAGTCAAAAGTGACTTACTTTTGTAATGATTTTTAAATTAAACTGAATTGAATCAAACCAAATAAAACGTCCTATCAGAAAGTTCAGCCAATCTTATTGATTTCTTGTGACGCGTAATTAATTTCGTAATTTCGTAATTACGTTTTTGGCAAAACAATTACCATGCATATTATTAATTTTGGTATAGAAATAAAGTTTATCATATTTTTATATGAAGTCATATGTTTAAGTGGGTAAAATTATAAATTTTCTTATACGAAAAAATGGGCAGAGAATTTTAAGTGAGATACTTTAAATGGGCGAAGAAAATCTTAAAAAGTGGGTAAAGTTTTCAAAAATTACTATATATTAGATTTTCATGCACTTTCACACTGTAAATGAACAATTACAATTCAAAAAATTTAGTCACAAATAATTCAGGGAAATTTCCTCATGACTAATATGACTAATAATACTAATGACAATAATTATATTAATCTTGAAAACTATTTGCAGCAGTCGTAGTTATTTGCGGAAGCCATATCTATTCGCAGAATCCGTAGCTATTTGCAATAGCCATATCTATTTATGACAGCCGTAATTATTTGAGGCAGCTGTAATCATTTATAACAAGCAAATGGTAGTTACCTAGAGCTATTACAGCAATGGTAGATACCAGCTAATCATTTATGGCAAGTGCCTTTAGTGGTTTCTATGTAAAAAAAGAAAATTTTACCTTTAAAATGGTCAAATATATTATTTTGTATGTAAACATCAAATCTTTCTTTTTCATCATGGATTTGGCACTTTTTATCCATATCAATGGTTTGGTTTGCTTGTCTAATCCATCATAATCATCCTTAAACAAGAATTCAAAATATGTATCTGGGGATTTTTCCCAGTGTGTCATTATAATTGTTCTGAGCTAAAATATATAACTTACCTAATTCTTATGAATCTTAATATATTCATCTAGTCTATCAAGCTTTAGATATCAAATGTAGCCATTCTCTTTTTTGATCTTTTTTTATTCTTAACAATTCCATTATTTTCCATTTAAAAACTTTACAAGCTGATAATGAATCTATAGGTGTATTATAGAATAAATTAATCTGTGATTTAGTATATATAAATTATGAAATATAATATTTAATTGCAAATTTACAAAATATAATAATTTATGTATTTTTATTCCAAGAAGCACTATCAAATCAATTGAATAAAGTAGATGAAAACCAGAAGTATTATAATACAAATATGTAAAATTCTAAAATTTACTTAAAAACTTGAAATTCTTTTGCAGTTAAATTCACATCAAAAGTAATAAAATTTTATTCTATTCTGGTCAAATACTTTCCATGCACTGTTGGATTTTCAAAAAAATGTAAAAACTGAAGGATTTCACTAAAAGTTTAAAAAAGTAAACAAACTTCATAGTCTAGCTACTCCATATATAGGTTTCGTAAAAGAGTAAAAATGCTATCAAAAAAGTTAAATAAAAACTTTAATTATGTGTCCAAGATCATTTTTATTTCAATGTTAAAAAGAATATATTTTATTGGATGTTCTGGGTATACTGTTTATTTATATTTTCATATCATCATCATAGTTATTATTTACACCATCATCATCTTCATTTATAATATCTTTATAACATCATCATTTTCATTTATAATATCATCATCTTCATTTGTAACATCATCATTTTCATTTATAATATCATCATCTTCATTTGTAATATCATCATTTTCATTTATAATATCATCATCTTCATTTGTAATATCATCATTTTCATTTATAATATCATCATCTTCATTTGTAATATCATCATTTTCATTTATAATATCATCATTTATAATATCATCATCTTCATTTATAATATCATCATCCTCATTTATAACATCACCATCCTCATTTATAATATCATTATCTTCATTTATAATATCATTATCTTCATTTATAATATCATTATCTTCATTTATAATATCATCATCTTCATTTATAATACCATCATCTTCATTTATAATACCATTCTCATAATCATTATTTATACCATCATCATAATCATTGTTTATAACATCATCATCGTCATCATAATCATCATAATAATCATCACCATCATCACCATCATAATCATTTATACCATCATCATCATTGTTGTCATCATCATCATTATTATCATCAATTGCGTTTATCTCATCATTTTCATAAATTCTGTAATTTTCAATCCTTTCATATTCATCAATCACATCATCAACATTTCTATTCAACTCAGAATCTTCATAATATTCACTTAACCCATCTTCGTTTATTTGATTATTACTTTCATAATCTTCAACATCATTATTATTTTCATCTTCATTTATCACATGATAATGATGATCATAATTATTATTTTCTATTATTTCATTGATCAATAAATTGGCAACATTGTCATCATCATCATCATCATCATCATTATTTTGAGGAATTGCTGCTCTATCTTCTATCATCGCATGAGCTTGGTTTATTAAATTATCATTATCATTATTTCCTTGTTGTTGCGCCATTTCATTTTCAAGAAGATCTGGATCCTCTTCATTTAGTAAATTATCTTCTGGTTGTGTATTCTGAATTATCCATTCTCTTAACAAAAATGCAGCCACAAAAATAATTACTACAACACATGTAATTATTTGACCTTCAAAAGCGTCAGCAAAAAAAACACTAAAAAAAAAAAAAATCAAAATATAACATATATTAAATTAAAATCTACTTTTACTTTTTAATTTAAAATAACACTACTAACCTTGTAAATTCACCAAATTCTTTTATAATATTTTCCACTTCAGGAGGTAAATACCATAATAGTCCTTTGGCTATTTTTAAATATAATATTGAAAATGGATTTTCTTCTCTTGTAGAATTATTTATTCCATTTTCTGCTCTAAATGGTGGATATTGTCCATTAATTCTATATGCTATGTACTCTCCACTCCAAAAATAAAATCTCCATACCCATACAGTAAAGTATGGTAAACAAATCAACCAAACAGACCCTACAAGCATTGCACGAAGTCCTATTTTAACAAGTCCTATTAAATGGTGAACACCACGTCGAAAGAACAATAAAACTGGAATGAATTCGGGAACATCTTCTCCATATACTAAATATATTATGTATTATTTTTTTAAATATATATATATATATATATTTATAAGTATTTTATAAAAATTTTTGAAACTTGATTACTAAAAAAAAGTTTCATTTAAAACCTACTTGGTGAAAATGAAAATGAGTGATTGCATAATTCACATTTTCTAAAAAAAAAATTTTTTCAAAAGAATTAATTTTAAATTGTTTTTTAAAAAAGATATATATATATATATATATATTACGTTTTTCCACTGTGTTTTAACCATTTCGTCAAACTAAAAGTTATATAAAAAGGTCGATATAAATCGTTATTTTTAAATATATATAAGACAATAAGAGTTATAAAAAGTAAAGTTCATAAAAATTTACCAGTCTTGATGTACATATCTAATACTGCCAGAACATTTACAAGGATAAAATAATGGATGATCTACACTACTTTCAGTTCGACAAACGCGACATACGTCTTAAATAATATTGAAAGAAAGATGTAATATTTATAAAGAAGAAAATGAAAAATTTATAAAGAACCATGTTTTTTACCTTCGTCCATAATATATAAATAAATATAATTGATATGATCTTAATAATTGCTTTTTTGTTTAAATGAAATAAATATTTTCGTGTATTGTTTAACAATCAGTCTTTGTTGAAAAGGGTCTTTTTTAAAAAAATTTTCCTTGGAATTCATTTTTATGTAAATCGAGTTTTTATTGGTCATTTTAAAATAATCAAGTAGGGAATCACGTGGTAATTCAAATTTTAAACGCTTAGCAAATAACGAGTTATTATGAAAAGGAGGATATTTTTGGTTGAACACCAAAGTGAAAGTAATTCTTGAAGATTAAAAAAATTGTTAGACTTGTCAAAAAAAGAAACCAGATTTCCATGCAAATTATATGATGTTTAAAATACAAAGTCTCATATCTAGAGCGTAAGATAAAATTTTAAAAACAACGAAGCCTGCAGAGGAGGTCTTTGGGAGTCTATTGTACGGTTATTCAGAATTATAAAAACCCCGCTTTTTTTACAAAACGTCTTAAAAAGAAACCCAATTCAATAAAAGGACCTTTACTGTTGAGATCACAATACATCTCTTTGTCGAAAAGTATGTTAGGAATTAGCAAGCTTGCTTTTAAATCATCTTATAAACAATGGTCTCACATCAAGAGTTCATTCATGGTAATATACCAAAAGAACGTCTCAATGGAAGCAAAATGTTGCGAAGAAGTTTTTTGAAAATTATGAAGTTCATGTATTACCCAAGCCCTGGGAGCTTCCAAAAAAATTAATCAAAAACAAAATTTAGCTGGTTTACACATACTAATACTAATACGTAATATAGATGCGAATAATTAAGTAGCAATCCCAAAAGGGTACTTTGGTGGTAAGTTTGTTAACATAATAAAATTTCTAGCTAATAGTTTTTGATGCATGTAACCTTCCATATTTATCGAATTTTTCAATAAAAAGGGTTAATACGTTTATCATTTGTCTCATATATCAAAATTTGTGTAATTTTTTTATGTTAATAAATATCAACAAAGTAGATCTTCAGGTAAAAACGCGGCTCAATTTTAAATGAATTAATGGATTAAGGATTCGGAATTGGATTCGGAATTGAATTGGATTCAGAATTGGATTCGAAATTAATGAATTCTATTTAGAACTAAAATATTTTTTTGGGAAGGAATTTTTTTGTAAAATTTGGGTGTTGAATTGAAACAAAAGTAATTGTTTTGTTGTAGAAAAATGTATTTATAGATCAAATATGTAAAGGTTCACTTTATTTTTCACTTTATGTAAAAAATTAATCAACTATAAAATTCTCCTGCCAATATTTTTTTTTAACTATACGTTATTATCTGAGAAATATTTTAATTATAACATGCAAAAAATCAATCAGTTTTTTCATTTCTCTGAAGGTAAAAAACAAAAAATCAGTTGTTTTTTCATTTCTCATTCGCTGAAGGCAAAAATTTTTGTTTAAAAAAATTATTGTTACGCAAGCGGGAAAAAATTAATAATTCTTTTTTATTTTCTTAATTAATTTATTCTTTATTTGTATTAACAAATGGCTTACACTGGTTTTATTTAAAACTTTTATCTTCCTTAACCAAAATTATTCGCAAATCCAAAATCAATTCGTTGATAACCTATTCATTCTGATCCACACAAATACAAAAATAATTGTTATTACCAATTAAAATACGCTCTTCAAATTTAATTGGTGACACCATCTAAAGATTAGTTGTTCTAATTAAATGTATTCTGTGTAGAATTATTTTCAAGTTATTTCTAAAGTGATCAAATCATTTAAAATTTCTTCGTTTAATTAAATCTGAAAATTAAAGGTCTGGTATATTTTAGAATGTTGGAATATTTACTTCTTGTTGTTTGAGATATTTTCCATGAGTCCATTATTTTATTGGTTATTACAGTGATTAAATAACAATATGAAGTAGAATCAGTTTTTCCGATTTTATTTGCGTGCAACTTTCGTAAATCATTTTATTGATTTCCCGTATGAATTTAAATCATGGGACGTTACCATGGGACAAATCAGTTATTCCATGGGAACAATGAGCTACACGATGAAAATCATTGATCACCATGAAACAAAAAAAAATTTAATCAATAATAATAATAATAAACATTATAATAATACCATTAAATATGTTACAACCGATAACGCGTGCCAGATTCTATTCCTCAGTTGGTACATGGCTCTTCTACAAATCCTGACCGACACAGCGAGTCTTCTTCCACAGTGTCACCCAGCAAATAGCAGGCTAGTTTCCTCACTGACACGCTTAACAAAAGGTAGGAAGGATATCTATACTTTTAAGTGCATTCTGCAGGATTGGGTGGAGACAGTAAGGAGAAGCTTATGCAAGTGAAAATTAAAGGTCTGGTATATTTTAGAATGTTGGAATATTTACTTCTTGTTGTTTGAGATATTTTCCATGAGTCCATTATTTTATTGGTTATTACAGTGATTAAATAACAATATGAAGTAGAATCAGTTTTTCCGATTTTATTTGCGTGCAACTTTCGTAAATCATTTTATTGATTTCCCGTATGAATTTAAATCATGGGACGTTACCATGGGACAAATCAGTTATTCCATGGGAACAATGAGCTACACGATGAAAATCATTGATCACCATGAAACAAAAAAAAATTTAATCAATAATAATAATAATAAACATTATAATAATACCATTAAATATGTTACAACCGATAACGCGTGCCAGATTCTATTCCTCAGTTGGTACATGGCTCTTCTACAAATCCTGACCGACACAGCGAGTCTTCTTCCACAGTGTCACCCAGCAAATAGCAGGCTAGTTTCCTCACTGACACGCTTAACAAAAGGTAGGAAGGATATCTATACTTTTAAGTGCATTCTGCAGGATTGGGTGGAGACAGTAAGGAGAAGCTTATGCAAGTACTCTCCTTCAATAAGGAAATAAGGAAGTTGAAAATAAATATTATATATAATAATATTATTAAAATATATCCCAACAGATAACGCGTGCCAAGTCTTATGCCTCAGTTGCTACGTGGCTCTTTTGTAAATCCTGTCCATTCCAGCAAGTCTTCTTCCACAGTGTCACCCAGCAAATAGCAGTCAGTTACCTCACTGGACACGCTTAATAAAAGGTAGGAAGGATATCTATACTTTTTTAAGTGCATTCCGCAGAATCAGGGTGTATGCAGTAAGGAGAAACTTATCAAAGTACTCTCCTTGTTGCATGTGATAATAAACAAATGATTGATATATTTGTTTTGCGTGAGCATTCATTACATTATTATCATTAAAATGTTAAATATATATAAATATATATATATATATATATATCATACACATATAGGAAACTGCTATTGAACAATCTGGGAACACTAAAAAATGATTTGATGTGCAACATTTTGTTGCTCAATATTACAATTATTCACACATTCCTTGTGAAAAAGGCTAATCTGACTTGATCCCCCGATGATATAAGAACGGAATTAAACTTTGGGGAGGGGTAACGATGCTCTGAAGTTTTTCAACCACGTTGTGTTAAAGCTTCTTGCTTGTCTGAAGCCTTCAAACTTGTTCAATTGCCTTACCTGTAGAAAAAATTAGAATTCTACAGTTATTGAGGTTTGCAATCGCATGACGCTTGCTTGTTTGTGAAAGGAAAATTTTATTAAATCTGACACCCATAAATCAGGGTTGGCATTGGCTGTAGATCCAAATCCACCATCACAATAATCAACAACAGCATCACCACACAACCTCACTCCAACCCGCCATCTCAATCTCAATAACAAACCCAACCAAATTCGTCACCAATTCAACCTCCATCATCAAGAACACCAAGTCAAAATACATCTTGAACATGTTCAATGCCAACCCTGTTTATAATAAACATCAGATTTATTCATTTGGAAATAATTTTTAAAAAAGCTCTACAACTTGTAATTGTGTGCAATTGGAAAGTGCACACACAAAAGGAAAGGGAACCAAGCAGAGGAAAAGGGGTTTTTTATCTCCAACTCTACCAAATTCCCTGTCTTCTACCCGCCAGGAAAGACATCTTTTTTAAAATCACTGCATGGTCTTGGTATTATCATTACTCGGGTGATGCAATTTTATGTTATACCAAAAATGTATTTTTGATTCAACCAAAAGAAAAAATATTTTATATAACATGTTGAAAAAAAAATAAATTGAATACAGCAATGTATAATAATGGGTTTAGCAAAATCAGCAGGGAAGAAGATCCTGTTGAACTTGACTAATTATAATATATATATAATTTCATTGTCAATCTCACAAAATCAATTCCCAACATGGGGTTGTTATTATTATTATTGTTTAAAACAAAAAGAAAAAAGATCATTTATTAATCATGAAATTTTGATTTCTAATTTTTTTTTTCCTAAAAATACTTGCATTGTATTATTATTATATTTCCTCCTTGAAGGCCACCAAAAATTGAACTTACGACTTTCGAAACAATACAACTTTATTGATAAAGGATCATTAGCCAATTAAATAAATGAATAATGAATTAAAGTTGATCTATCTATTATTATATAACCTACCTCATAAAAAACATCATCATGCCAATATATTTGTAACTTTTAAATAACTCCTCATTACGATTTTTATAGCGATCATTTGTAGGAAATAATATGATACCTAATTTGTTTTAAAAAAGTTAATCCTTACTGATATACACTGTACTTTTCAATATACTAATATTATTATCAATTACCAAATGCTACTCCATGTACGATATTTAATATTAGAACTGTAACTATGCTGTAAAATTGCAGCGAAAAACAGCCAATCTTTCTTTCTGGTTTTGAATCTCGGTATTCTCTCGATCTTGTCATTTCAGCGCCATAATAACCGATGCACTCAAATGAATTTCTTGATAGCAATGAGTTTTCAGTTATATTATTTTCATCAATGTAATCTGTATTATTTATACTTGACCCATCTATTGCCATCATTTCTGACATATTATCCACTATTTTGTGTTGTTGTCAAAG